GAGGCCAGATCATACATGATTTTTGTTGGGTTCATATACCAACTGTCTTAATAAACGCTGGTATGATTTCGATATAAAAATCATATCATATTAAGCGGTTTTTAATTAATTTGATATGAATTAATTGATAAAGTTTTGTAACGGGCGGCGTCTTTGACAATTACAGATGAAAATGAACTTGTTGATTAAAATATGAAACTGAATTTTCATTTTCATTTAACCCAAGGAGTTTTTAAACTTATGGGAGGCCAGATCATACATGATTTTTGTGGGGTTCATATACCAACTGTCTTAATAAACGCTGGTATGATTTCGATACAAAAATCACATAATTTTAAGTGGTTTTCAATTAATTTTATATGAATTAATTGATAAAATTTTGTAAAGGGCGGCATTGTTGACAATTACAGTTGCAATTTAACTTGTTGATTAAAATATGAAACTGAATTTTCATTTTCATTTGATCCTAGGAGTTTTTAAACTTATTCTCCAACTCATTCGATTTTCAAATCTATACGTGAACCGTTCGTACAGGATCGCGTTGAATTTTTGAGTAATAGAGAACTTGAGAAGAACTCAAGTTGTTCATCAAAGAATCTTCTTTGTATGTTCGGCTCAACCTCAAGCACACATGCAACCCTCGAAAATTTTCAATACCCCAACTGCCGATTCCCCCCAAGATCCCGTAAACTTTGAAATGAACAAGTCCTAAACCCCTAAAATCCAAACGATCCATCCAACAGTATTAAACTTTTCCCAGCAAAAAGCACAATCCCAAACAGATGCGAGAATGTAAATGCCAAAAACATTTGAAAATAAAAACACACGGAAATTTGATTCATGAGCTTTAGTCATAAACTTTTCCTATAAAAGAGGGAGAAAATCGCGCAACTTCTCCATATTAAACCGGAACAAAAAAAAAAGTTGAATTGAATGGACATGAGCGGTTGCAGAAGACGGGAGAGAAATTCAATTAGCCCGAGACCGCCTGATGTTACCCCGTTTGGTAGCAATGAGTGAAATTTGATGGAAAATGAAATGAATGATGGGATCAATCATTAATTACGGAAAACACCTGATAAATTGCTTGACCTGCTGTTCGATTGATGTAGAAGTCGAAGGCAGCTAATGATCCATGAGTGCTGGAACACTTGGAGTCACGATGACTGACATGAATTGTCCAACCTGGTAATGGGCCCTCAGCGGATCGGACACTTCTGACAGCCAGTGTTATTGCTGGTAAAATACGAGGAAGACTCAATTCATGGTGAGGATCAGCAGGTGCAATCACAGCCAGTTTAACAATCCCATGTTTCGCGGTCTTCAGGGTATTGTTGCTCGTTGAAATTCGAGTCGGGGATTCCCGGGGACTCACTGATATGGCAGCGCCACCTGCATGCGCACGCATCCAAGCGATAACTAAAAACACCACAATGCACTTCCGCCACGTCCACTTCCACATTTTCCCGACTTTATTCATCACTAATTAATGTTATTTATTAGTCAATGTTAATTCTTGATCAACCCGCATTTTAAGCACTAGAAACCGTTGAAGTCTCGTTGTTCAATTGTTGAAATCACTGGCATTGTGTCGAGTACTTCAAGACTAGACTTTTTTTTCCCTCTGCTCTCGTTGGAAATTCATTTTTCTGCGCCCCTCACGAGTTTATGGTCTCAACTGGAATATCAACTTGTGCTGATCTCCTGGACTGTGGGTTTGTTAGTCCACTGAAGAGGATATTCGTTGCTTTTCGAGAGGTACAAGGGGAATAAAATTGCAACTGCTTGAGACCGTACACAGACCAGCAAATCCATTCAGTGGGAAAGGGCAATTCAGAGGAACTGAAAGAGGTAAGAGAGATGAGAGAAGAAAAAAGAGAGTGTTGCCTCCTGGCTATGCGAAGCATTCGTAACGAATGGAGTAGATCGAACTGGTGCTTCCGGTACTGAAACGTCAATCAGAAAGTGCCGCAGCCCCCGGCAAAATCTAGCACGAATGCTCCAAATCAACTTCTGCCGTGAATAAAAAAATCTCAGAGAAATAAAATCAGTTTCTTGATAAATGGCATTTATTTATCGATGGCAGAATTATTTGCGTAAATTACCCAGTTAACCGGTGTCTGCGTGCCTACTGCTAAATCGCGTGCTGCACCGCAAATTACGTTCGAGGGAGTATGAGAAAATAAATATGAACCCTAGCCTCTAATATCCAACTCGGATACATAGTGCCGGTCATAAATATCCAACAAACTCCTTGGCTTTTTCATTAGGCCAGGAACGCGTGAATTCCCGTGAGAAAAGCCAAAAGCGACGGGCCAAAGGTGATGGAGAATAATAAAGTCGGGTTAGAGAGAAAAACGATTCGCGAGCTGGTGAGCATACCTTGGATAACACCAAGTGTTCATTACAATTAGCAGACGAGGGCTTAAATACCACTGGGAAATTAGAGTTTATTTGAAGTTAAATGTTCGTTGGTTGTTTTCTGGATTAAAAAGTTAATGAATATTTCAGGAGTTTGTAATTATTGACGCAATTTTCCAGGGTGCTTGGCAAATTCATCCCATCCTAATTATTGCACCATAATTCATCCCATATGTAATCCCATATACATCCCAAAAAAATTGATCCCCTCATTATCTCAGCGCAGTTTTTTATTTCTCATCTTGTTCTGTATCGTCTTCCATCTCATTTTTCCGTTTGCTAATTATTTTTGTGGTAATTTGACTCGTATATTTAATTGTCGTTGGGTTATTATGGATTGATGTAATCATGAGTGAATGGTTCATTGAATTGGATCTTCTCGAAAATGAGATCGATTATTGAATTTCGATGTGTACAGACATCGTATCTCGTAACTTCAAAAAAAAACTCGCTCTTTTGTAGCTATTTTGACTTCTGAATTATATTGATCATCGAATTGTTGGGATGTGAATTGACATTTGTAGATATTGACGTTTTGAATTTCAAATTTTACACTTTTTTCTTCTTCGAATTTATGTTACACGATTTGTATCACTTTTCAAATTTGAAGAATTCTTTAGAATGTTTAATAAATTAGCACCAAAGTTTCAATTAATTCCGTTATTTTGTGATTATTTTCCTGAGAGGCGTTACCTGAATAAGTTTCTTGAAACTTAATGTATTTGGGATGAGTTTTCACAGGTGGATTTGTTTTGAAATGAATTTTCCGGAATGAATTTACCTAGATCCATTTTCCGCCGTTAAATGATTAAATTGTGACGTAAAACTCGCATTTTTTTCTGATATGAATAAATAAATAAAGGCAGTTGTAATTGTTTGGAATTAAACAGTGACTCCATCATCTCCAGAATTACACATTTTTTTTTTCAATAAAAAATAGATTAGAAAAATTGAAAAATAAATTAGAAAATAGAATAGAAAAATTCCTCACAGTGGGAGTGATCGAACGTGACATTTACTGTGCCATCTCGTTATGAAGAATCCAGTTGGAATAATGCATTATTTTTTGAAGCATCGCAGAAACGACTGTTCATACTCGTTGAGAATAGCAAGTTGAAGATCTTCCAGATACATCTATACTGTGATAGACATAAGTGAATGGAAGATAGCGGGTGCAGGGAAGCCCTTTAAACCACTGAAATGAGATTTCCATCTTGAAAGAGTCTGATCAGTGGTGACACTATTAAAAGTCCCAGTTGTACCATCAGAGTGGAATAATAAAAATTCGATTCTGATCTGTCTGATTCAACACTCCCCATGCTAAACGATTTATTCATCTCTTTGAACAGCTACTCCGTCGATTGAACACTTTAATATAAATGCCATTCGGTGAAACGGGCTCACGGGGCTTGAATTAGTTCTTTAATTAATTAGTAATTAGAGAATTCGTATGGCCCAATAAGCTATTTTTATGAGGCACGAGAAATGTTGATTCAACTTCATCTGGAGAATAGTCCTGCGTATCATTGAGCGGATGATGAAGCCCACATGAATTTATGACGCAGATTCCAATAGTGCTGATTCAAGAGACTTAACGTGCTATCGGCAGCAGCTCAACTTCGGATCAGCACATGTAATTTTTTATTCACTTTGTTCAAAAGAATGAATATCGCACGGAAAATCGAAGTACGTAAACAAAGGAGTGGTCAATTATAAAAAATCCTAAGTTATTTCCACTAAAAAATCACAGCTGAACTTTCCAGAAAAACTCTGTACATAAGTTTTTAATTAAAACTTAATATTTACCACCCCATCTCCTGAAAATTCGCGCTAATCTATAACTCATCGGTAAATTTCCCTTGCGAGTCAATCATTTCTCTTGATTACTCATTAATTTTTATAGAATAATTGAACTGGAATTAAATTTCCCGGTTCCCACGCACTCATCCGTGAAAAAGTCCCTCGACAATTTAGTAAGAATGTTCTTCGAAAATTTACAAGACTCCTTCCGTAAATTTCAGATGTCATTTTTAAGCGGTGTTAACGAATTTCCCCAGAATCTCTCACCACGAATTGCATTACGTGACGTACATCTCGGATGCAAATTGAAACGAGAATTTGGTGAAGGAAGCGTCCAACTGCACAATATTCTCATCCCCCGAATCCATCTGCATTGTTGAGTGTGAAAGGGATTAAACCATTGGCCAGTGCGTTGCAAACTCGAGTTCCACCGAGACAATTGATATCCCCACTATCCAGGAGGCAACACCATTCTCCTAAGACACTGTACTCCTCGTTTGTTACATCGCCATTCCCCCCTGCCCAAACATCTCCACGAATTATCCAACAAGTGGAACAGCTCCACGTGTAGGATAACGGTCCATACATCAATCATCCGCCACTTTCCAATTCCTCCAAGCTAATTTAAACAACAAAAAATCTTCCATCTTGATATTTAATTGTTAAATCGATTTCTACTCCAAAAAATAACAGATACTCCACGATTCAGAATGAATTTTGTGCATTTAACACGATAAACCAATACCTCAACCCAGCAATTCTCATAAAAATCCTCTTCATTCATGATTTCCCTCATTCAACCTCGCTGAAAGCACTCTCGTGTTCTCTTCAGTTTTAACGGGACGCTCAGAAGGAAAAACAGTGCCGAAAGAAAAAACTGAAAAAATCATCGAGCCCTCGCACCACGACGGCCTAGTCGTGGCTTAGTGAAGACCAATGATCAATTAAGAGAGCGATTTTATCCGATTTACCTCCATTTATCCGATTGAATCTTCCAATTAACCAAAAATGAAAAAAAGTTTCACACATCGTGTACCTCGATATCGACGTGTCGTATACAGTGCACGTGGACCAGACGGAAGCCGTCCGTAAGTCATAAAAGCACAGAACATATTCACCATCAGAAATCCTCAACTATCCAAATGACACATTTTCCATTCATCCATAACTCACTATTTATTCCACATTTTTTATTATATTCGTTTATACCTATATTTATTTATTTTATAGAAATCATAACTTTCTTTACAATCAGACTTCCGATTTATTCGACATCTTTCGCATGAATTCACTAATTTATTTATTTCAATGACTGTTGCGAATTTAAGAGTGCAATTTTATCACGTGTGTTTACACGCTGAATATTTATTATGGGAAAAAATATAATCTCACATGGAGGAATCACTCCTCAGTGATCGTGTGCACAATGACTTTGACGCTGGCCAAAACGAGGTGCACTACACAACGGGGAAGATAACTCTCCCGCCAGTCCAGCACCAACAGAAAGTAGGGATAAAAGTGCGCACGCGTCTCCACCCTTTCCACCCATCTCTATATACCCCCCTCACCGCCACCTCCTCCCTCTCACCCACCCACTCCTTATCGCCCTCGGACCTTACATCAAATCCAAGTGAATGCGCTTTTACAGTGGTACATCCATTAGTGATAGCTACGGTCATTCACACGTGCTTTTGCCACATCCACTTTGTCACCAAAGACTCCTCAATCTCATTTTACATCTCCAAACAAATCATTACGTCTGTCCATTTAAAAAATAACAAGTGGGGAATTCCCTCTTTATTATTATTAATAATATTCTGGAATTCTGGTCCATTCTGGTCCATTCTAATTAAAGGAAGACTTTATTGAGACTTTCGGCGTTAAATAATGAAATAATCCGCGACCATCGAGGACGCGTTCGCGGTTGACGTAAGATTAAAGAATCGTGATATGAAAAAAGATATACCAAATACGTGACAATATAGTGTAGGGGAAATGGGGGAGAGGGAGGGCAATCTACCCTCTTAATTTTCGTACTTTTTCTCTCATTTTTTAGATAGATCTAGGGGCGTAACACCTATCGTGTCCATAAAATGAACTCCTCATCTTTCATTTTATAGGCGTTTTCTTTTAGTAATGAGTATATAAGAAAAGTAATTTGAAATTTATCAATCCAAATGCTCCCCCTGGTTAAATAAAATTCTCTCTCAAAATACGTCAGATTTCCTTGAAACTGTTACTGCAGAGGAAAAAGTTTCAAGTAATTAAACAAATAATTGGAGTTAAATAATTTGGAGTACTGATGATTGTCTTAAACCAACGATACGTTCTGCTCATTATTTTTGCCAATGAATGAGCATCCGCAAGATGGCAATTCATCCCTGAATCGATTATGCAGTCTGAAAATTTCTCTCCACAGCTCTGTCAAAGTTCGATAATGAAAAGTATCGTCATTCTGACATTGGTGCGCACCATACAGCCGAATGAATTTGCACATCCCCCTAATGATGTTAAAAGCATCATGAAATTCAACGTGACGCACGTATTATATTCTCTCAGAAAGTGATGCTCAGAAGACACCTGCAAGACCCTAGAAAGGGGATCCACCGGTTTATTATTCCCGACACTTTCTTCCATGGAGTTACGAGGTGGAGCTGAATTTCCGAGGATATACACAAAGCAGTGAGGTACCACCACCGGATGAAAGAGGGTGGAAAGATTAGGTGATATAAAATTAAATGTGTACCACGAATGGGGGAGGTCGAAGATCAACGAGAAAATTAACGTCTCCAAGTTTCTGATGACTTCGGTATGATACTACTACTATTAACTAGTTCAAATTAATCCTCTGAATTTTGTAAATTTGATTTTTCAAGGGAGCTGAGAATTTTTATCGCTTCCGTAATATTTACCACCCCATCTCCGGAAAATTCACGCTAATCTATAACTCAGCGGTACATTTCCCTGGCGAGTCGATTATTTCTCTTGATTATTCATTAATTTTTATGGAATAATTGAATTGGAATTCAATTTCTCGGCACCCACACACTCATCCATGAAAAAGTCCCTCGACAATTTCGTAAGAATGTTCTTCGAAAATTTACAAGACTCCTTCCGGAAATTTCAGACGTCATTTTAAGCGGTCTTAAGGAATTGAACGAAAATTAACGTCTCTAAGTTTCTAATGACTTCGCTATGATAATACATACCACCGCTATTAACCACTTGAAATTAATCCCCTGAATTTTTTAATTTGATTTTTCAAGGGAGTTGAGAATTTTCATCGCTTCCATCGTAAAATTTCTTATTTTAAATCATCAGATAAAGTTTGAAACTCCAATCAATTGTATCTTAATCTAGATTTCCTATACGATAAAATGGTAATGGATGAATTCACCGGCTATCTTTCCACTCGTCCATCATCATCAATTTCCTGAGTAATTAAGAGATAATGATGATCAAGTAATTTACACCTGTGATACACTTCCCATTAACCCGAGTTGATTCTCGTTTTATCGGCATTTTTACGACATTACAACTGAATAATATCGAATTAATAAGGAAAACACGAGTACATCAGTCATGAGGTCGTTACGCATGTGTCATCATTAATTTTCCGAGGTGATGAGGTGTCCAGTCCATTACGGAAGGACAAGACCAGGGGAAAGCGATAGGAAGCCATGAACCGATCTGATCCGCAGGTGTGGGGTGATAACAGGGAAATTGCTACACCATTACAATGTAGCGAACCATTGTTAATTAAAGATCTGCAGAGTTCATTGGAGATTACAGGAGACTGATTCTGAGGCGAGCATTGAATATCAAACAATTGGAGGATTACCGTGAAAAATCCAGACCCCGAGAAACAATTGGAATTAATTGAGAACAAAACGTTTCATGATTTCCAGAAATAAATGGCTCGAGTCATGCAATTGCAAATATACTATTTTTTCATATTTCATCGATAAAATACTATATCATAACCACCCGAAACAATTCTATACAACCACGAAAAATCCCCAGATCGATGTGCCCAAATATGAACCGAGACTGAGAGAATTTATTTTGCTAGAAAAAATTAAATTATTATTAACTAAATTTATTCTGCTAGAAAACTACATGTATGTCTTAACAACATTTTTTGTAGTTAAAAAAATTGTTTTCCAAAAAAAAATTTATTCCGGTTGAGAATTAAATAGTAGTAAATCACAAGAGTTTAAATATATTAATTAAATATATTTTGTTTAACAAGGCATTTCACAAGGTAGAAGATATATCACTGTCAGTTTAAATATTAAGCACGATATTAAGTAAAATTCTCAGCCAATTAAAGGATTCATTTCGGACCATTAAATATTTAATGCACAGAACATTTGGCATTCGTAAAACTTTTTTCTTCCAACGGAATGAAGTATTTGAATTCTCAGCCCAGAATCATTAATATTCCCCATGAAGAAAAAATGTTAAACGAAATAATTATTCATTCATTTCCTTTGAACCTTTAAATAGACTCGAATAGAGTCGAAAAAACCCACATTATCGGGCGAAAATATCTCCATATTTTTTAGTTGAATAAATATATTTTTGGCAGACCAATTTTTTTTTTCTCTCAATGTAGGATTTCTCTCATGCTCGTGAAAAAAAATGTGGTAAAATTTATTCTCCCGTTTAGTAATCGTAGAGCGTGCTAGCGGTTTAAGAATTTCTACCCTACACTAAGGAAAAAAATTCAGCCGTGAAGAACATTTACGGAACGATAATAAATTTGCAGGTTTGTATGAAGTAAAGGAAATTATACAATTAAATGAAATAGGATAGGATTACTTAAAGCCAACCAAGCGATTAATTGCACTTATCTCCTTGTGATTTCACAAGGACTTACTGCGGAAATACCTCAAACAAATTGTTATTTTTCCAGAAAAGCATATAATATATTATCAAAGGAACCAATTCTTCAATGTCGTAATTAAATTTTTGAAGAGTGGTATTGTTATCAGAAATATTCCAATTGTCGTCATTTTAAACATGATCTGAGAATCTTGATAATAAAATAATTACTTCTTAATACAGACACTTGCTCAAATTTCATATTCTTCGTGTAAAAAGAATAACTTTCTATAATTTTGTTTTGTTTATGCATAATACCACCCGCTTGGCATCCAAACTGTTTTTTCAGTCTAGCATTTAAAGAAAATATCACTATTTAAAAAAAGATTGAAATCAAGGAATCGATGAAATGACGAGGATTTATTTTTTTCTTTTCGGCCTTTCTTTTAAATGTTCAGGAACTTTACTGATTCGATTCTGCTCAGCCATTGGTGCAGCCCGAGGAATTATAAGAGTTACAATTATAGAAAATTTCAACTTTCTCTAGAATTTTTTCGACCGTTATCTTGCCAACCCCGATTTTTAGAAGAAATGAAAAATGTCAAATACGGCCTAATCGTCGTGAAGAAGTTAAGACATTACGAAATGATTTGATAGATATTACAGGGCATATTTTGACACCGAGAAAATTGAATTCGATCAAGTCGTTTTTGAGATAATCTAAAAAGAACGATTTTTGAGAAATTTCCATATCTTGAAAAATACTCGACGGATCGATCTGAAATTTTGTTCAGATATTCATTCCGAAAATAATGCCACTGCTCCTATTTTTCATCGCTAGCTTGAACTTTACTTCCTTTAACTTCCGAATGGAAGCCTTGTTGTTTTCTTTTACATCGAAAAATCCGCACACACATTCACTCAAAACTTCGTATTTTGACGTTTTAAGAAAATGTATTTAAAGGGTTCTCACAAATATAATTTAGTCAGAGGTTTACCTATTCGTTTACAGCTACTACTGGAATTAATTACTTTGATTTTACACTCGGTGAGATATTTACGTATTTTTTTTACAAAGGCGTGGTCAGTTCATTCCCCAATTTTTTTTATGGTATAAGTACAAATTGTATTTTTATAACAATTTATTTTTCAGTGTACATTAACACGAAAATTACAATTTAAGTAATAGTATATTCCCGAACTGTTGGAATGGGGTTTTTTACTCGTGTGGAGGTTGGCGGGTCGAGTTGAAGGCAAGACGGCCAACCACACGAGTAAAAAAAACCCGTCCGAACAGTCCGGATATTATTTTTCCGTAGTGATTTTCAAGTTGTCAAGTTTGAGAAGTACGTAGTACCAATCCCCAGACGAGAAATCGTGAGAAGTAGTACAGAAAAATAATGTATTATCAACAACTTAAAATTGTAATTTTGACTGGACTCCTGCCACTTCTAGCTACAGGATCAGAGTATACTGTGTGATCAATTTTTCCTCGCAGCGATATTTACTCGGCCTTCCTAAAAAAATCACGAGCATCAACTAAAAAAACTCAACAGAATCTTTAATTGCTTCCTGCACCCCGAGACACGCAATATTCCGTCGTCATGGGAGTGTTATTGAGGGAGAGTTATGTCTTTGAAATAGGGTGAGACAGTATCACATACTTTGGGGTTAAATTTATAGTGGAGGCGGTGAAATGAATATGAAGCACTGCAGAAGAGTCACAAATTCCCAGAGTTATAAATGAGAAATTTCAACCATTACGCGACGAGGTGTGAATAAAAAGCAGTCACAACTGAAAAATTGAGATAAATTAAATTACCCATGTTCATTAATTATCGATTTATCCCAAAAACTTTACCTCGCTACTGATTCTGTTCTCTCCAAATTAATTCCAACCGTTTAATCCACATTTAATATCTCTTCACCCCTCCCCCTGTTTCCCTCATCCTTTTAAAATTGCCCGAGAGCTGAACAGAAAGTTTTTCCATACTTAAGAAGACCCCGTAAATTCTTGAAAAATATTCATGAAATAATTTCCCACTACACTATAAAAATTAATTTCTATTATGGACCACAGATAAACACTGCCTCCTTATCAATCTCAAATATCCCAGTACACAAATTCTCCCGGAAAAACGGAAGAATAATGTCCCTTTAATTGCTATCGACAAGGGAATAACCCACAGCAGTATGACCCCTGGGTCTAAACCCACCCCTACTGGAAACAAATCAACACCCGTCCCGGGGGCCGATTCCCCAGGAAAATTCCTCCAACACCTGCCCTGATACCCCGAAAAATCTAAAACTTAATTCAACAGTTTAATCCAAGTCACAAAGTAGCACAACAGTTTAATCACACAACGCGAGCATGAAGTCAGTGGGCTTCACCTATAGCACACCCTGTTAATTAACTGTGGTCCGTCGAGAGTTTGCGTGTTTCACCCCTTGCCTATCATAATGAGTAACGCCCGCAAAATTCACAAGCCCTAGCAGAAGGAAATTCCAAAGCCCAAATTAAAATATCCAATAACTGAGCAATTGATTTTATTCATGAGACCACCCCACCGTCACCCGAGAGACTATCAATACCTGAAGATAATAATTCGCTGGTAGAGTCGATTATTCGCCTCACGATTTGAAAATCCTCATGAAATTGAATGGAGCTTCGATGTTGATTTCCAGGAAATGATCGTAAAAATATCAATAGTATTCGATAAAAATATTTTTTTGCATAATCACAACTCGAACAATTATCGACTAATGATTTAGTTACAACCATGCCAAGTGGAATGGACGTGCAAATAGCGTTGATACGTGATCTTCCTTGACCCGATTAACAGCGATGATTAATTCCCTATCTATTCCCCACGATCGCACCGTCGAGTACATCGACACGTAGAGTTGTCGACATTCAGCTGAATTAATTGACGTTTGCTGCGCTCCATATCTTTTCTCTCGATAAACAATAATACCACCCGCTATAACGAACGAAAGAACTCCAGGTGTCAGCCATTCACCATTCTGAATTGTCCAGTCAACTAGCCATTTCCCTAACACGAACAGTTTCAAGTTTAAAGCTTGACTTTTATTGCGTCATCCACCTTCGATTTCCAATAACTCAACACCTACTTCCTCAAGAACCAACGAGCTGTGAGACTGTTGCTCCACAACGTGTAAATATTCCTCTGATAAGTATTTTCCCGAGGAACAGGTGAATGCATTCCCCCTTCAACATTTTAATTATTGACTCTCTCCGTTCCAAGAAAACTTCAATTTCCAATTACTCGGCTATTCCTCATTAATTGTGGAATCGATTCTTCACCGTCAACACGGAAAATCAGAGGCTGAAAAGTTATTAACGATGACTGAACACTCGTTCGCTATCTGCACTTGACGTTTGTTTTGATAAAAATGATAATAAAAAGAGGGACTCACCACTGTAGAAATTCCCAACGCTCTTTTCCAAGATCTTGCCATACTCTCTCCTGTCGTATGTTTCGATGTCGAAATTCCCGAAGGTGATGTCTTCCCGTTTTTTTATAAGTGCAACCATCGATTTCATCATGAGCTGACACGTGTGCTCACCAGCGATGTTTGTCTGACCCATTGGATCGTAAATCAAGTGGACTTTCTTCCAGTTGTGACTGGGGAATTCAATTCCATTAGTATCATTATTGCATATTATTATTATTATTATTATACTATTGGGTTTTGCTCTTACCGATCCATAACCGCCAAAAAGGCAAGACCGATGTCCCGGAAGCCAACGCTGCCGATTCTCGTTGTCATGTAATACTCGTCTGAGCATTCAGTTTTTTTATTTGTAAAGTCGATGGTGAAACCACCGGTTGTCAGCAATGGGGCGTTCAAAAATTTTACTACCCTGCCGACATTTGCTGCAGATGAGAATGATATTTTCTATTAATAACCCATTGATTTTCAATCAGTGCAATAATAACTGACAATTCACTGAGAAAAAAAAACCGCCGATCAGATAAATTCGCGATTAATCGTAATTAATCGTTTTGCTTCCAAAGGGAAGTATTGCATTCGCTCGAATTGAAGCTTCCCATTATTTATATCAATCCAATATGATCGAAAAAGTTTAAAAATGTTAATTATAAATATAAAAAATAATAAATTGTTAAATCGAGTTCCTACGGATGAGAATGAATGTGTGTGAATGTAACAAATTTTTTTTCAATCCATCTCCGATTGAACTCTTACATTCGTCGAATTGAATCATTATTTTCCTCATATTGTTAAATTTATTAATTTTTTAAATTTTTAAATTTAGAAAAAAACAGTTTTTCCTCATTAACTGATCGAAAAATATTATGAAATACTTCATCAGGAGGTAATTACCATAGCAATAAATATTTTACACAATCTTGTGCAAATTTTACGCACATCTTTTGATAGAATCAATCACACTGTACAAGAAGTTGAAGTACTTATGCACAGAATATGAATAAAAACTACGTGATATCGAGTAATTTAATGGATATTCCATGCGCATAAGTCTTTCAACTTCTTTCATATCATTGTACCGACGAAAGTGCATGCTTGCATAAAATTGTGTAAAGTATTCTTAATGTTTTCTGTAAGTATTTTGATATAATTTTTTAGATAATCATTAGAAAGAGCATTGCAGACTTATTAATACGAAAATATATATAATATATGTACTGATTTAATTACAGTTTGAAATTGTTCGAGCCATTGGTCTTTATGGAAACGAACACTCACTTAGATATAATTTTGGTTTTGTTCTGTTCCCCTAACGTGATTCAAACGTGCATCATCCGAGTGGAAATCGAGCTCACGTCTTGATTAAGCGTTGATCAAGTACATCATCACGTGTCCGATCAGACACATAACGCTGATTTAACAAATTATCGACTAGGGTACTTGATTCAAGTACATGCAGGATTGATTCAAGTGTATAATCGATTGCGAATAGAATATTCCGAAGAATAGCTGAATGTTTAGTGCCATAAATAGTGAATTATATCTTGTACTTAATTTGTTTGTGAATGAAAATAAGTTCGTTGCAAACTTCAATGACAAAGGTACACCTTCAATCGACCCTTTTTTTTCTCAGGATAGTTCTTTTTTTTATATTCACATCAGTACTTTTAATAATTCTATATATAAAATGGAGTTGTCAAACAACAGAATATTTAAAAAACGAGATAATCGTGAAATCTCTAGTAAAAAAGTGATCAAATAACTGAAAAATGATAAATATGAAAGATCAAATGTCCAATTGTCTACTAACCTACACAATAATCACAGGCAGGACCCAGAAATAGATGAACACAATTAGCGTAGCTGTCAATTGCAGCGATTTGGGCATATGTTGCATCGCAACGGTCATCGCTGAGGATGAATGTGAGCTTAAGCCAGTCTGGAAGTAACTTCTGTCTTCTGGCATCGCTAACCGCCAGATCTTGAGCCCGAAGGGGGAACAAATCGAATCTATGAAAAGTTTCTTCAAAAACCAGAATAAGAACTCACCCAAAACAGGTAGGACCTTCGTCAAGGAGATTTCAAATCTGGTATCCTTGGGAAGGAGGACAGCTGCTCTCAGTTCGCACTGCGTTGTCGTCTGATTCCTGATGCACAAAGCCTCGCAATCCCGGGGTAATTCGGTGTCTCGACAGCTCGCATTGACAGCTGGCGAAATCACGAGGAGAATAGCCCATGTCAATTTGGCAATCCATCGAGATGCCATTCGATACACTTTATTGTTTATGTTTATTCCTCACAGTTTTAACAAATCTCACTAGTGACTTGTATCATTTTTTATACACTCGATGCCTTCAATCAAGATAAGAATGAATCATGCGAAAAAAAAATAGCGCGGAACCTTCTCAAGAGCTTCTATTTTTTGCCGATAATTTTCTATTGTCGATTTAATGAATTAATGGGTTTTCAGAAAATGTTAAAACTTCAGGCGGTTTCTTCGCCATCGTCGAGACCATACCTCTAAAATCTTCACCGGGAAACACTCGAGCACAAACTAAAGACGGATGCACCGGAGACGTTCACGTCGAACAATATCAGATTATCAAAGAATTCTCTATCAATTCCTATCTTGATATGATATCTCCAAAGCTCTTGCCTCGTCTGCAGCACGCGGAAAACTGAAAGCTGACGTTTTATTTATAGTTTAGTAAATAAATATCCAATATCAATTATGGAATGTGTCGATTTTGGAGAAATCGTTGATCCCCAGTATTAATGCAGACCCAGTCCTGGCCGTCTACTGATAGAATAACGACTGTTCCGATGACATCACGAGGCCAGCCCTTCTACCATGATCAAACAGGGGTGGATCAACTAGTGAGTTGATTAATGCCCACTTGACATTGTTTCAATCAAGCTTAATTGAGTACTGATTTTTTTGTAGGCAAGATATCAATGAAAGGCTCTTCTATTTCAGTCAGCCGGAAATACCGACTGACGCTGGTCGTAAACCTATAGCTTAGCTGTAGAAAAAAACTATCGAGAATGACCTAGAGAAGTTCAAATCAGGTTCTTTCTAAAGTACGTGTGATTTACTTACCCTTTCCCGATCCGACGCTCGAATTTGATTTTTCATCGATTATCAGCCGTGAAACCAATCGCCTTATTTTACTCAGCCTGGCCGAGAAACATTGAAGCCCACTGGCCGTCATCTCTACGCTATAAAAATTAAAAATAAAAATCAAATGTACATGCGGAAAGTAATGAGTCAATGAGCATCACTCCGACTCATATTCATCGTCATTCGAAATTAATTCACATATATTCCAATTTTAATCTAACGTGATTTCCCAAAGACTAACTCCGGACGTAACACGAAATACTTTAATGATGGCTTAAAAAATCTATTTCAATGTCTTGTTGACTGAATTCAAAAATTCGTACTTTAAAAACTGTTAAATTCCGAACCTGTCAGGGGATATTTTATTTCAATTACATTGGATTAGAATTTAGAATGACAGTTCCGATGCTATACTGTTAAAATTAAAAAATTACTACTCTAGCTAGTTAGCTTGCTGATTTTTCATCTACTCTGATTTCCCTTGTTTATAAGTTCCGAATTCATTCGATTATGTTTGTAGAAAATATTTTTTCAATAAGATTTCATCGACATTAAAGACGATTACAGACGACCATTCGCAAACGTATTGATAATCTATTAGAAAAAATAATTATACTATTGAAAAATTCCGCGGTTGTTTGTAATTGTGTAGCTCAATTCTTTGTTAATTAGACATATTTCATAAAGATATTAAAGTATATTGAAGTTCCACTCAATCGATTGTTAAAAGTTCGGAACATAAAAGAGACCGGTGGCAAGTGTTTTTGTGTTTTTCACGCCAAAAATTATCCGCCATCTTAACGGGTTTGACGCTTGCGCAGCAAACCAACTGCCACTTGACGCGCCACACATTTGAATCAGAGTAGGTTATCTATACCAAAGAGGGTTGACTAAAGTAGAGGCTCAGTTCTGGGGGTTTGAGTGATCCCAGCGGTATCGTAGTACTACACCCCAAGAGAGGGAGGGCGCCATACGTAATGGGGGTGTCTGCCCCTCAACCAACTTGGTAACGGCCGCAGGAGCAGTGTGCTGTCAAAGGGACCAGTCAACGGGGTGAATGTTGTTTTCTGCGTTACGAAATTGGTATTCACTGAAATTGAAAAATTCAAAATTTTCCAAAAAGTATCAGGGGAACATGAAAATGGAGGAAGTATTCACTGGAATTGAAAAATTCGAAATTTTTGGAAAAGTATCAGGCGGGCATGAAAATCGAGGAGGTATTCACCGAAATTTGAAAATTCAAAATTTTTTTAAAAGTATCAGGAGAGCATGACAATTGAGGAGGTATTCACTGAAATTGAAAAATTCGAAATTTTATAATAAACGACAAAAGCCAATTTCGTAATGTAGAAAATAACGTTCAGCCCAACAACTGATCCCTCTGACAGCGGGACTGTTACTGAGGCAGTTACCGTGTCGGCCGACGGGCAGACACCCCACCATTGCGGGTAGCCCCCTCTCTTCCTTGGGGTGGGGTACTGCCAAAGGCGATTGACTAAAGTAGAGCTCACTTCTGGGGGTTGAGTCCACTGGCATCGTAGTACCCCACCCCAAGGGAGAGAGGTGGTTACACGCAATGGTGGGGTGTCTGCCCGTCGGCCGACTCGGTAACTGCGTCAGTAGTAGTCCCGCTGTCAGAGGGACCAGTTGACGTCATTTTAGGTGTTACGAAATTCGTTTTTGTCCCTTATTATAAAATTTCGAATTTTTCAATTTCAGTGAATACCTCCACGATTTTCATGCTCCCCTGATACATTTTTCAAAATTTGGAATTTTTCAATTTCAGTGAATACCTCCTCAATTGTCACGTTCTCCTGATGTTTTTTCAAAAAGTTTGAATTTCCAAATTTCCGTGAATACCTCTTCGATTTTCATGCTCCCCTGATACTTTTTTGAAAATTTTCAATTTTTCAATTTCAATGAATACCTCCTCAATTGTCATGCTCTTCTCATACTTTTCCAAAAATTTCGAATTTTCGATTTTCAGTGAATACCTCCTCCATTTTCATGCTCCCCTGATACGTTTTTGAAAATTTTGAATTTGTCAATTCCAGTGAATACCTTCTCCATTTTCATGCTCCCCTGGTACTTTTTTTGAAAATTTTCAATTTTTAACTTTCAGTGAATACCTCCTCAATTGTCATGCTGCCCTGATACTTTTTCCAAAATTTTCAATTTTTAAATTTCAGTGAATACCTCCTCAATTGTCATGCTGCCCTGATACTTTTTCAAAAATTTTGAATTTTTCAATTTCAGTGAATATCATTTTCGTCACGCAGAAAAGAACATTCACCCCGTCGACTGGTCCCTCTGACAGCGCACTGCTCCTGAGGCCGTTATCGAGTCAGCTGACGGGCAGACACCCCCGGCGCCCTCCCTTCATTGGGGTGCAGTACTACGACGCCGGCGGGGCCATTCAAACCCCCAGAAGTGAGCCTCTACTTGAGTCAATCCTCTTTGATCCATACCATCAAATTTTTCAGGTTCAATAGTTTAACTAATATAATTATTATTTATACATATTAACCAACATTCAGTCATTTATAGACTACAGTTCAAATATGTCATTTTGAAAATTGGTAAATTATCAAATTTAGACGAATAGGGCTGTTTTACATAGTACCGACAATTTTCCCTGATTCCTACATAATCGACTTTAACCGTTTTATAAACACGTTCCAACCTGTTCAGCTGACAGGGCTTCAGTTATTGGCGGGCTCTCGGTGTAAACACTGGCTCTAAAAAGTATACAGTCCGTATCGTTCAGATAAATAAAACCGCACGATTATTACTGTCCAGGAATAACTGAAATATAATGGGTACCGAAAGTGCAACATTTACCCCCATGGAGCCCTCGACGTTCTACCCAGGGAGTGCTGAAATAAAGAAAAGAGTGAACGATATCGAGGAGAAGTGTCAGAGGAGACGTCTCTTGTTACGAGAGGCCAGCGGTTTCAGACCAACCCTTTTAGGACCCTCGACCTTCTCGGAGAAATATTACAAACAAGCTGATGCTCTGGAGGCTGCTCGTGAGCACAGCACGAGACAAGATCCACTCTGCACATTTGTGTATCAGGATCATTACAATGAAGGTCGCAGGATGTTTATTGTCGCTCATCCAGAGGTCTATTGGCACTCGTTCATCAGGCAGAAGCCGGAGAGAAGGTGCACGTATGAGGTAAATAATTTTCAAAGTTTTCTCTCTTAAACCCCCGTTTTACCCATATAATTTCGATATTAAAACAATTGTCGAGTTTAGGTGATTGCAGAAGGTGCTCCATGTTGGCTCTACCTGGACCTAGAGTTTCAGACTTCCTTGAATTCAGACAGCAATGGGCCTTCAATGACGAAAACTCTCCTGGAAATAATCTGTGCCTTCCTGAAAAAATACTGGGATCTGCAGTACACAGATAAAAATGTTCTAAACCTCGACTCTTCAACTCGAACAAAATTCAGCAGGCACTTGATATTCTGCACAAAAAACGTGGCCTTCAAGCACAATATCCATGCAGGGAGATTCATCAAGAGTATCATCAGCGAGATTGAGGAGTACGTGGCATCTAATGGCTCAGCATTTCACGAGGTATTGAGTTTTTTTCCGTTGAAAGACCTTGCAGCTCTTTTTGTTGAGACGGGGAAGAAGAAGACCATCTTCGTTGACACCATGGTGTACACTAAAAACAGGCACTTCAGGATCTTTAAGGCTACCAAGTGGGGCAAACTGTCCCACCTGGAGGTGTCAACCGACTGTACCTATGAACCAACCGATCAACGCAAGGACAAAATGCTCAGCATCTTCCTGGATTCGCTGATCTCATTCTTTCCTGATAACTCCACCTTAACTCTTCTGGAATTCAACCATGATTCGTCCATCGACATCAAGAAATTTCCCAGGGGACTCAGCCAGAATCACAGATTTCTCACTCAGAATAACGCGACAATGACTGAATCTCCTTATCCTACTATCGATAAATTTATTGGTAAACTCGTGCATCCTGGCCATATCCGATGCTCTATTTATTTTGAAGACTCTAAGACTGTCATTTATGAGATTCTTGGAAACAGGTGGATACAACTACAACTTTTCATATTGTGTCATTAAGTTATTCTCATGATTAATTATTAATGCAAAAGTTTACAGACTCACTTGAATTGATGTTGATTTTTCTATCTTCTGCAGATTTTGCGCAAATATCAATCGCCACCACAAGAGCAACAATATCTACTTCGTCGTCGACCTGAAAGAAAAAATTTATTACCAGAAATGCCATGACGAGGAAGACTGCCCAGGTTTCAGGTCCAATTTTATGCCGCTGCCAGTGGAAATATGTTTCCTCCTCGATGAGGAGGATGACGATATCTTTTTCAACATCCCTGACTCCGATGAATCGCATTCCTCTATTCGCTGCGATATCAGTATCGAGCAGGAGTAGAAAACTAAATCAACTGTCCATTATTTAACAATATATAAAAATATTCATTATCAATTTTGTTATTTATTGATATATTATCTATGGGTGAGAATTATGGAATCATTGATTAAATAAATATTCGGGTTTGCTTAGAAATTGGTGTATTAATTTTTTATCATACAGAGTCTTTGCCCAATTAATTAATATCTTCATGATTCATTTAGAGTAATCATTAACATTTATACAACACCGAGTTTATGTACAGGATTATCCATCAGCTAAACAAAAAAGAAACTAAGTTCAATTGTTGTGCAAATATCGATGAATCATGCGTTTTAAAAAAAGTGGATTATTCGCACCCCAGAGGGGTCCTCTTTGCATAAAACAGAAAATTCAATATTTTGAAATATCCAATGTACAATTTCCTCAATTAAATTCACAGAAAAAGCACCTCTTCATATAAAACTAAATTTCCACTATCTCTCGTATTTTCTCCTTCTAAAAAACAGTTTCTTAGTGATTCTCTTCAGATTCAATCACACACTGCGTCCTAGAAACCTACTGTCCACCAGAAGGTGGCACAAACCTATCAGTTTTCCCTGAGAGCACAACGTTCGAGTTATTTTCGTCGTCAGTGCTAAATGTGGACGACGAAAATGTGTACAATTGTCATGCAAACAGTTTAGTCAAGAAAACGTATCGCAGATAGCCACTTTGTTTCTCGACAATCTGTTCGGATAACTCGTCCTCACTCGATTGCACTTCCGATTCACTGGAGCTTTCCACCTGAAGGCTGATGGGACTGTTTTCTGAATTGTTGGGTTCTTCAGGGAGAGATATCATTTCTTTAGTCGCCGTTTCGTTAATCCCATCATTTGACTGACTACTGAGAATTATTTCAGCCGATGATACGTCCATTTCCTCACTGGGCTCTATTACTTCTGGTTTTTGAGTCCTCGCTATGTAGTGTTTGTAATCCTTCGCTGCTTGTCTCATTTTATTCAAGAAATCGGGCAATCCTAAACAAACAACGTAAATTTGATCAAGTTTTAAAATTAATGAGGGGTTTTTCTTTCTTTATTTAAGAGAAAAACACTCATCACTGTATTTTTTATTATTTTCCTTTCCTGTACTTTTCTTTTTGAAGTTAATGTTTTCTTTCACTTGTGAAGATTTTAAAAAAGATAGTTAGCATATTAATAAAAATAGAATTTTCTTATTTTAACTGTAGAAGTATTTTAAATTCTAATGTAATAAAAAGTTCGTTCAGGATTTTTCAAAATCCTTTAAAATTAATTTATACGATTCTTGCGGTGAGAACTTGCTTACCACTCACAGCAACCCAGGCACTGACAGCATAGGGAATATTAATCCCAGGATCTTCAAAATAGGTCAAGCCAAACTCGATCCCAGGCTCGTCAAAATCCTTGGAGGGTTTAATCACCATGTACGACCAATACGAATTGACTCTGTAGGTGTCAGGGCGATCAGGGGCCTGCGGATGCTGAACGCCCCTGCTGACGATGACAACGATCCCCTTCTCCTTGTCAAGCACCCATCGCCTCTGGTAGACGTAATCTCTATTCGAAAAAAGCCTCTGCAAGCAATGACAAAAATAATAAAAAATTACAAGACCTCGAGGGTTCACCCCAGCCCATAAAAACCCGAAATTACAGGCCAGATCATCTCCCAGTAAATGACATCACTCCTCTGATTGCCATCAACAACCCCTTCAGGATCGGTGTCGATGATCTCGAGACGTTTTGCAGTCGTGTCCCAGGCCTTCCTGTAGTCGACATCAACCTGGACCCTGAGGAACTCGTCAGCAGTGACATCAGAAAAGCTCCCAAAGACTTTGTAGGCATAGAGTCCCCCTGATCGAGTATCTGTCTCCTCTCGCCTCCAAATGAGCATATCCCTCCTCTCGATGAAAGGCTCCCAGTGGTTCTCCTCCTTGGGGCCCTTGCCCTTGCACTGACAATATTCGATGTCTGCCTGAGGCTTATCAACAATCATCCTCTGATGACAATCCTCACAGACAACAGTCGCCTCCTTCAACTTGTGGATGATCTCAATCTCATTGGCATAGCTGTACAACTCCTCGTTGTCGATTCTGTCCCTCTCCCAATTGAACATCGTCACACCCACTGAACTAAACAACAACTCCCTCCCAGTCCTCCTCATCCTGGCCCTCCAGGCCTTCAGGAACTCCTTCAGGGCAACCTCGTCCCAGATCTTTGTGTACAGCTCAAATAACTGCAGACTCCTGCGCACTCTCTGGGCAGCAATCGACTCCAATTGTCGAGTACATGCTCTCGTAACCTCGAGACTGTGCTTTCGCAGCCACAGCCCTAACTTCCTGGTGCAGCACGAATATCCAGGGAGCAGGCTTACCCTTCCTCGGGAGCCTGTCATGTGACGCAATAAGGCATTCGATAGATTCATCCTCGAATTTTTTTCTTCGTGAGGTTCTGATAGTTTCTGTCACGATGTTCTCATCGTTGGTATTCCGGAGCTTTCGAGCGTTTCGAGCTGCTGGACACTACCTCGTGGAAAGTTGATCGGGACACGACTGCGCAGAGTAATCCGAAGCACATGTGGTTGTTCGCACTGCTCTCATGTGGTGAATCTTGGCACTTATGTGAACTTGTGATTGAGAGTCAATTTTGGAGCTTTGGTGAATTCAACTCCTCGGGGATGAGATGTGATTCGGTGAATTATGAAAATTGTTGTGGTTTTTTGGGTTCTCGGGGGCTTCCTCGGAATTACAGGAGCAATGATCCCCGTTGGAAATAAAAGTGCTGAGGTCCTCCAGGAGTATAGGCCTGAGGGGCCTTTGGTTATGTGCAAGTTCTTGTGAGTATGAATCTAAGTAATGATTCTAATATAACGGTTTATGGATTTTTATAGAATTTTTTTTCCCGTTTTTTGAAAAGGCCTGTGGATTTTATTGATTGTGAGGAACCCTTTGATCATAAGGGAAACAAAACTGCGAAGATGGAAAGCGGATATGGCTGCGTCAAGGTATGAAATGTCATTCAATACTTGATGGATTTATTCAAAAATTTATTGTCTGATTGCTTTTCAACAATTTTAGTTACTTTATAAATTTTTTCGATTTTTATTCTTACTCGCTTTTTGATAAATAAAATTAGTGTAGTACTTAGCAGTAAAGTATTTTTCGTATGTATCTGGCAGATGTTTAATAATTTTTATTCCCCCCATAAAATATTACTAAGAAAAATCACAGCCATGATATTATTTGATAAATTAAATTTTAGTTGCTGTAAAAAATAATCGCTCTCTATTTATTCCCAATAGTTTGGGGGTTCTCGATACGACGAAGTGGAGAAAGCCAATGTTTCCTGCTCAGTTCTTCCTGACATTGAGTGCTACGGCCCCAGGACTTTCTACAGAGATGGTGTCCCCTGCATAAAGTACAGTGGCCATTACTTCACCCTGACCCTCCTCTACAGCATTCTATTGGGGTTCCTGGGAATGGACCGCTTCTGTCTAGGCCACACTGGCACAGCAGTGGGCAAACTGCTAACCCTGGGGGGCCTGGGAATCTGGTGGGTCGTCGATGTCATACTTCTGGTGACCAACTCACTTCTGCCTGAGGATGGAAGCAACTGGAATCCATTCGTATAGCCAAGAGTCACGATACGACACTAGTGGCTTCAATCTTGTTGTCCAGTGTGTATATTCTCCAAAACGTATCTCTCACTCTTAGTTCCACTTTCTCCAGATCACTCACTGCATTTAAACGAAATGTGTATATATTTTTTAAAAATAGGGGGTGTGTAAATAAAACATTTTTTTATTCTATAAATCGGTCAAGTCATTACAGTTTCATTTGTGTATTATAATTCGTAATCGTCAGGGTGGTACAGCTCGCTGAGCAGTCGATAGACGTAGGAAGGTGCATTTCCACCTCTGAAATTGAAAAAATATGAAAGCATTCCAATAGAAAAAAAATTATATAAGGATTACGGTCAGTAGGCAGTACACGGGACTTGAGAAAAAAATTTTCCATTTTTTTACTCACGTATTTGTGATGAATAGAGTGACCAATTCAGGGGGCACATAATCGAACACTGGATTGTACGCCTGGATCCTCTCCATCAGAGGTTCGTTGGCTCCATCAATGACACCTTGGATCGGTGCTTGATGCTTATTGAATGCTTCTTGCTCAAAAGAACATAAATAAAGAGGAGACAGTTTGTAAAGTGGCAGCAGGACCATCACCGGAACAGAGTAATGTTTCGCTGCGTGAGCGACTGTGTCACACCCTGTTGTTGCTTTTAATCCCCCATTAGCCATTACTGTATGAGTCCCAATTATCACTTTGTTCACTCTCGACATCATCGCAAAAATTCCTCGATCAGATATCAAAGTGGTTTTTATCTTTTTCGGAAGCTTTGCTGCTAGTTCTTGGCCCTGGTAACGGATAAAAATTATTGAATCGACTTTAATGGGGAAAAAGATAGCCAGAAGGTGATGATAATTTATAGGTTTGAGACTTAAGGGAAACAAATGGGTTAAATAGAGGAATTTAGGTCATTGCGTTTTCAGTTTTCAGTATTAAATTACTAAGGACCAAATTAGAAGTTTCGTACACTAAGCGAAGGGTCTCCTTCAGCTATGATAACTTCGAAGGCCCTAGTCTCAGCAGCTTTCTTGAAAAACCGCTCGACCATCCTCGAGTATCCTATGGTCATTATTATTTCATTCGAATGGATGTGCTCCGACGCTTGTTGAGTTATGTTCTCTGAACTGCAAATCAAAAATAAATCAGTAGTCACGTGATAACTTAAAATAACTCGAATTTTATTAAAATAATTCTCAAATGCATTTACATATATTTCCATATAGTATAGTTATTTTTGCTAATAAATTAACCATGCACTTCAGAACGGAATTTTTTCGTCAAACTCAATTCAATAAATTTGGAATATAAATATTTCTAAAGTACACATTTTGATCAATCTTACTTATTTATCAATACAACGGTTATTGCTGTGATTTCCATATCCGAATCCGATCAACAGGATACCAAAACTAATTTTTGAAATCATCATTGATGTATTTCATAATATTTTTTCTTCAGCTATCATAAAAAACCGGATTTGAAAAGAGAAGCAAAAAGATAAATAAAGAAATGGAAGTCTTGAATTAATAAAAAATCAATTGAATTCTGATTAATGTTATCGACGGGATTTAGCAATACTTATCTATGAGCAAGTAAATCATTTAATCGGAGATAAAGTTTGAAGGGTTTGACACAATTGCCACATACACGCAAACAAATACACACCGACGATGGCGCTCCAAAAATTGTATTTTCTGACCTTTTGGAGTATAATGGATCGACATAACGAAAAAAAAATACAAAACTTAAATTTCAACGATTGCAGTACTTCCATTTGGAAGAAAAACTGTTGACATCAGGAAGAAATATCGAGAAACTTTTTTTCCTAGGAAATTTAATCATCCTCAAAAAAACGTTTACTATTTCCGATCCAAACCAATACTTTCCTAGATAAATTGATAATACGATTTAAAAAATAATGATAATTACCATGTTTCCAGCTCCACTTCGAACTCATTAATGTGTTCGATGATCGTCGACTTCAAATCAGGCATAGAAATATTGAAATCAATGTCTTGAGTTCCTTGGGACGTGAGAATTTTGTGGAGAGATTCCTGGGGGTCGGCTTCCTCCGGTTTATTCTTGAGCTCGAGGGTGTACTCTTCCCTGATTATCTGAAGAATCCTGCGAACCATATTTCCAATGGAGGCCTCCAGGGGAACAGCAGCTATCATGTACTTTCCATTCAACGTTATCAAATCCATGAGTTTTCTAGAAACAAAAAAGTACAGAAAAAAAAAATAAAATAGATACCCGACTTGTAGAGGACAGAGGATTATTTACTTTGCTGTGCTCCAATCGGAACTACTGACGATTTGCTTCAGGACACTGATCGTCGCCTCGACGATTTTGTGCGTTCCCATGAGCTTGCTGTTCTCCCAATTGTTGGAACAAAATTATTGGATTAATAATTGGAGCAAGTGTTGGACTAGGTTATAACGCCCTCGTACCCGTAGTTTATGTTTTTCACTAGCTCCAGGGCACCCCTGTGGATATCTTTGCCAGCTGTCAACACCATTTCTGTATATTACTGAGATTAATTTAATCTGTT